TATGGCCTCTTAGCCCTACTTGGTCACCAAAGACTTGGTTTTCTCCTACAAGTCTTTTTTTGTTTTTGCGACAGAGTCTTAAGCTGTCGCCCTGAGTAGAGTGTCATGGTGTCACAGCTCACAGCAACCTCAAACTCTTGGGCTTAAGCAATTCTCTTGCCTCAGCGTCCCAAGTAGCTGGGACTACAGGCGCTGCTACAACGCCCGGCTATTTTTTGTTGCAGTTGTCATTGTTGTTTAGCTGTCCCGCCGGGCGCGAACCCGCCAGCCTCGGTGTATGTGGCCAGCGCCCTACCCGCTGACCTAGGGGCGTCGCCCTCTCCTGCAAGTCTTAAGGCATCCCCTCACCACTGGTTCTTCCTTGCTTCTAGGATAAAGCCTGGTTCCTTGGTCCGGCGTTTTGACTGCTCATCTCTGACCACACTCTCCCCGTCCCCCAAACCATCACCGGAGCTGCTTGCTGCCCATTCCTCCAGCGCAACAGTCCCGGGCCCTTCTGCCTTTGCACGTGCTGTTCCCTCCGCCCACTCATGACGTTTCTGTTCTGTCCAGCATAAACAGATGGATACTTGCCCTTCCCGTCCCACCCAGGTCCCGAGGAAATCCCGGCCACGGAGGGGATTCCACCATCAGCTCTAGGCAGCCATAACCAGCCCTCCGCAGGCCCCACCCGGCAGCTCTGCCCCGCCCCTGGTTCCCACGGGGCACCGCGGCTTCCGGCTCCGGGCGGTGCAGACCGGAAGTATAGCGTTGCCATGGCGAGGGCTGGGCCCAAGGCCCGCCCCCTCAGCTCCTTCCTGAGCGCGGGTCCAGTGCCCGCTCAGTGGAACCGGACTGTGCGCCCCGGCCTGCGCGAGGCGGAAGGTGAGGTGCGGCCCTCCGAGACCCGCGGCAGGAATGGCGCTAGAAAGAGGGGTCGGGCCGGGCTGGGGACGGGGCCCTGTCCAGGAGGGGAGCCGGCTCCGACAAAGAAAGGAGGCCAGACCCAAGGAGATGAGACGGAAGAGAGAGGGAGGGAGGGAGAACGAATAGGCCAGAGGAGGGTGAGAAGGCCGGCTGAGAGCGGAGGCGGTCCGGGGCAGCAGGCTTACCGGCCCCACTTGGGCTCCCAGGGTCAGGAAGGACTTCTAACAGTGGCAGCTTGTGAAGGCCACCAGTAGGGCAATTAACGTGAAGTTGTGTGGATTCTTGCAACCTGTTGATTGTTATCGATTAGGTAGACAGCAATGAAATTATCTTCGGCTTTAGATCAGGAGATCAAGGCCGGCAGAGAAGTGACTTGCCCAGCTCGTGTGTAGGCTTTGGTGTAGGACATAGGAGTAACTTGCAGCCTCTCAGGGGCAAGTTCCTTAAACTTGAAAGAATTCAAATGAACTCACCTGTACTGTGCGGACTGTCTCATTAATTGGAGTCAGTACAGGGCAGGGCTAGTACCCTGGCCTGGGAGGGAGTGTCCAGGGCGGGCTTGGGCCCCTGGCTGTACTAGGGACAGACGCTCAGGGCACTGTAAGATTAATTTCCATGGATGGAGAGGGGAGGTGTGTCTGGAATCATTCCAGACTTAGGGGAGCCAGAGCAAAGCTAACCCCACCCAAAGCAGTGTGTCTTGCCTGTAATCCTAGCACTTTGGGAGCTGAGGTGGGAGGATCACTTGAGGCCAGAGTTTGAGACCAGCCTGGGCAATAGGGAGACCCCATCTCTACAAAAAAACAAAAAAAGACCAGGCAGGGTGGCTCATGCCTGTAATACTCTGGGAGGCTGAGGCACGAGGATTGCCCTAAACTCAGGTTCGAGACCAGCCTGAGCAAGAGTAAGACCCCCTATGTCTAAAAATAACTGGGTGTTGTAGCAGGTGCCGGTAGTTCTAGCTACTTGGGAGGCTGAGGCAGGAGAATCGCTTCAGCCCAAGAGTTTGAGGTATCTGGGAGCTATGACCTATGACACTATGACATACTACTGAGGGCGACAAAGTGAGACTCTGTCTAAAAAAAGAAAAGAGGTGAGCAGTGTCTGTGGCTCAAAGGAATAGGGCGCTGGCCCCATATGCCAGAGGTGGCGGGTTTAAACCCAGCCCCTGCCAAAATTGCAAAAAAATAAAGAAAGAAAAGAAGAGAGGCTTGGCGTTGTGGCTCAAGCGGCTAAGGCATCAGCCACATACACCTGAGCTGGCAGGTTTGAATCTAGCCTGGGCCCGCCAAACAACAATGATGGCTGCAACCAAAAAAAAAAGAAAAGAACCAGGCGTTGTGGCAGGTGCCTGTAGTCCCAGCTACTTGGGAGGCAGAGGCAGGAGAATCATTTGAGCCTAGGGGTTGGAGGTTGCTATGAGCTGTGATGCCATGGCACTCTACCCAGGGCGACAGCTTGAGGCTTTGTCTCAAAAAAAATAATAAATAGGCTTGGCACCTGTGGCTCAAGTGGCTAAGGCACCAGCCACATACACGTAAGGTGGCAGGTTCAAATCCAGCCAGATCCCGCCAAACAACAATGATGGCTGCAACCAAAAAATAGCTGGGCATTGTCACGGGCGCCTGTAGTCCCAGCTACTTGGGAGGCTGAGGCAGGAGACTCGCTTGAGCCCAGGAGTTTTAGGTTGCTGTGAGCTGTGATGCCATGGCATTCTACCCAGGACAGCTTGAGGCTCTATCTCAAAAAAAAAAAAAGTAATAAGAAATAGAGTGGCGCCTGTTCCTCAGTGAGTAGGGAGTTGGCCCCATATAGCGATGATGGCGGTTCAAACCTGGCCTTGGCCAAATTGCAATAAAAAAATAGCCGGGCGTTGTGGTGGGCACCTGTAGTCCCAGTTACTCGGGAGGCTGAGGCAGGAGAATCACTTAAGCTCAAGAGTTTGAGGTTGCTGTGAGCTGTGATGTTACAGCACTCTACTGAGGGCAACATAGTGAGACTCTGTCTGAAGAAAAAAAAAAAGAACGAAACAGTAGAGTGATGAGATCAAAGAATGATAAAGTAAACAGAGGACCTCTAAGGAAATCACATTTAAGATGTGGTCTGAGTTGCACGAAGGGGCAAGGTCTGCTAGATCTTGTGGAAGAACTAAACAGACAAAAGGCACAGTCAGTGCAAGGTGAGGGTGATGATGAAGATGGCACTAAATAAATAATGGTAGATAAGGGTTAGAAAACTTTTTCAGTGAATGGCTAGATGGTAAATATTTTAGGTTTTCTTGTGCATGTGGTTTCCTTCAAAACTACTCAGCTCTTCCATTTTTTGTTTTATGAGACAGAGTCTCACTTTGTTGCTTTCAGTAGAGTGCTGTGGTGTCACAGCTCACAGCAATCTCAAACTCCTGGGCTAAAGCGATTCTCTTGCTTCAGCTTCCCAAGCAGCTGGGACTACAGGTGTCCACTACAACGCCTGGCTATTTTTAGAGACGAAGTCTCAAACCTGTGAACTCAGGCAGTCCACCTGCCTGGGCCTCCCAGAGTGCTAGGCTTACAGGCATGAGCCACCGTTCCTAGCCCTATTACCATTCTTTAAAAAGTTTTATTTTATTTTATTTTATTTTTTTTGAGACAGAGCCTCAAGCTGTCCCCCTGGGTAAAGTGCCGTGGCATTACAGCTCACAGCAACCTCCAACTCCTGGGCTCAAGCGAGTCTCCTGCCTCCGCCTCCCAAGTAGCTGGGACCACAGGCGCCCGCCACAACGCCTGGCTATTTTTTGGTTGCAGCCGTCATTGTTGTTTGGCGGGTCCGGGCTGGGGATTCAAACCCGCCACCTTAGGTGTACGTGGCTGGCGCCTTAGCCGGTTGAGCTATAGGCGCTGAGCCTATTTTATTTTTTTTTGAGACAGAGTCTTGCTTTGTCACCCTTGATAGAGTGCCATGGCGTCATAGCTCACAGCAACCTAAAATTTTTGGGCACAAGTGATCCTTTTGCCTCAGCCTCTCAAGTAGCTGGAACTAGAGGCTCTTGACACAACACCTGGCTATTTTTAGAGACAGGGTCTTGCTCTAACTCATGCTGGTCTCCAACTCCTGGCCTCAAGTGATCATCCCCCATAAGCCTCCCAAAGTACAAGGATTACAGGCATGAGCCAGCCTCCAGCAAATTTCTTTTTATTAGTTTGGCAGCCCCCTGAACTAGAATAGGTTCAGAGAGACTCCCCTTTTTTTCTTTACCTGTTTATAGACATTTCAGTTCTTTTCAGTTTTTGGCTATTATAAGTAAAACAGCTGTGAATGTTTACGTATACAAGTCTTTGTGTGGACATGTTTCCATCTCTCTTAGGTTAATACTTAGAAATAGAAATGAGCTGAAGTGGGCAGCGCCTGTGGCTCAAGGAGTAGGGCGCCAGCCCCATATACTGGGGGTGGTGGGTTCAAGCCCAGCCCCAGCCAAAACTGCAAAAAAAAAAGAAAAAGAAATGGGTTGAAGTATGTGTTTATATGAAGGTGCCAAACTATTCCCAAAATAGTTGTAATCATTTTATATTCCTA